AGAAAAATTAGACCTCACTAAAAATGAGGTCAACAGTCTCCAGTACCAATTGTCCACTTATTATGTTGCTCCCAACTCCATGAAAGAGACAACTATGGTAGTAACCAGAAACAATGTGTCCAAACCCATGATATCTGAAATATTTTCTTGTGTGAAGGGTGTGCATTTTGCATTAATATAAAATCACAAGTTTCAAAAGAGAGCTATAAAAGCTACACAAAAGAAGCAGTGTGGCTGACGACATTCGCCACCTCATTTAAAAATTGGGGTCACAAGTGTGAACTTTTCCTTGCGGGCACAGTGTTGGGTGTACTGTTCCTCTTATGCTTTTTCCTACTTCGATCAGCTCTATCATCTTTTTAGGCAGTTTTCACACCTTCCTCATGTGTGCTCCTATTGGTTCCTCTTATTGTGGGTGACTGTTTGAATAAAGATGGGGTTCTGTTCTGCTTCTAGTATTTCTCTAGTTTTAGCTCCAATGTCTAAATATCACACAATGACCAATAAGGCCGCAACTGAATGACATAGCTCATGGCTGACTTCAGGCTTCTCAAATACCTTGTTATGGTTTTTTCCTTGGGCTCCCTTAGCTCACATTTCAACATGAGCCGATCAAACTCCATTGTGTACTCTTCTACTGATAATTTCGTCTGATGTAAGTGATATAATTTCAAGAAGGCGGTAGTGTGAGGGTAGATACTTCCTCTGCATCTTCTTCTACATCTTCTCCCAAGTAGTGCTCTTGTTCTTACATTCTCTTGATCTCACTCCCTTCAGATTCTTTCTTCACAAAGTTGTTCTCTTATTCATCTTTATGGCAGCATATTTCACTTTCCTATCAACCAACACCTCTTTATACTGAAAAATTTTCTCAACAATCTCCAACTTCTCAATGAAGTTATTCATATTCATTCTCCCCTCGAAGTCTGGTAAGTCTACCTTTACCCTTATGTCTCAATGTCCTCCAAAAACTATTCCATCTTTTGGCTTCCTCTGATACTGAATTATAAAACGTCCTAGCCTATCCTCCTCTTCACTACTATCATCTCTATAGAAGAGATTCAGATTTTTCTCCCTCCTCTTTGAATCTCACTATCATGATCTAGATGATCTCTTCATGGGTCACTTCATCAATTTTAGCAAGTCTTTGCTGAAGTTAACAGATTTTCCTCTCCATCTCTTTCATGGTAAGTTCTTAATCGGTTTCTGACACTTGTCTCCTTAGTGGCATGACTATGGTATAGGTTTGGGAGGTGAAAGATGGCGTATAAGGCTGATTTCTGGTGCAATAAGGTAAAAAAATAGGTTTGTTGATTTTGAAGATCAGCAAAGGGGATTTAGGTTTTAGTTCAAGAGTTGGTTATGTTTTGGTTATGTCACTCTAGGATGAGACTAGAGTTTGGCTAACTCTGATACTAAATGATACCGTAATTTAACAAGCACCCAAGTAAAAATAAATATTATTACTGAATTCAAAATTTTAAATTATAACAAACAACAGAGAAATCTGAAATTGCAATGAAATATCAACACAATACTAAAACTAGGGTTAGATTTGGGGTGTAGGTGGTGTCGGTTAGGATTTGGACCTTCGGGGTGGTGACGAGGGTTGAGGGACTGCCAGCAAGTTGGAAACAACTATAGAAGGGGTTGTTCTGGGTGACGGCAGTACGAAGGAAGGTGTTCCACTATCTGGCAGCATGGGGAAAGCGGCGAGGGTAATGAGAATCAATGTAAAAGAGAGTATGTGTATTGTAGAAGGGGATACACACCATTTGGAGACCATGATACTACCAAAGCACCGCTTGGAACCCTAGGATACAATGCTAGAATGGGAAAAGGAGATGCTCAGAAGAAACTAAACCCTAAACATCGAATTGGGCAGGAATATAACCCTCAGAAGAAACTAAACCCTAGGATACAACCCTTAGAAGAAACTAAACCGTAAACATCGAAGAAACACTTAAATAGACCTACTAAAATTAGGAGTGGACTCCACTCTAATTGGGTGGCAACCCTAGGCCTAGAGAGGGCCTACCGACCCTTCTTCAACCTGGACTGAACTGATCCAGGGTCCCCCTTGCCCTTGCGTCACATCATGCTCCTAGGGATAACAAAGTGCCTGGTGGAAGCTTTGTCTCAAGTTAGTACAATTAGAGATCTAGACATTAGGAATATATTGGTGACCTTAAGAGCTGCGCTTGATCCTTATAATTGGTGAAGTTATCTTTTTGAAATCTTGATATATTTTGATGGTATAGAGTTGGAAGGACCATTATCCATCCATCCATTTGTGGCACAAGGGCCACAAAAGCACAACTAATGATATATTTGATCTAAAAGTTGTGAATAATTGGGAGCTTTGTATTCTTTAGTGGCGCATCAGACATTGATACACTTTTTGCCATATATATATAAGATGAAGTACTCAAGCTTCTAATTGTTATTTCACTCAAGTTACGTTTTGAAACTTTGTTTTTTGATCACCAATAAGCCCGTGAGGTTGCCACTAATGTTATTACATGCTCAACCTTCTAATTGGAGAGACTAATATTGTTCATGTTTGCTGGCATTGTCATAGAAGCCTTGAAACTTTTTTGTTCTAGTGAAACGAGAAATATGTGATACAGGGTGATCATTGATGGCTGTGGCTGGAGCAAACTTTAGCCTTCTTCATCCTTTTCTCTCTGTACTCATGTACTCATTTCTCTATTTTTTCCCCCTCCCTGGCAAATATAGTATGGGTGTCGTCACTTACACCTTCCCTCATTTGATAGACTAATGACCTCTGTTGCCCGACTTCCAACTCATTATTTTTTTCCATCAAACCTTTCGCTCCAAGGCAGAGGAAGTGTGGGCAGTCAACTTCTGTTCTTACTTTACTAGCTTTTCCCTAAGGGGTAGAGCCCTTTAATAAGATTTATCACTGGATTTAGTAAATCCAGCCAATCGCTAAAATGCAACAGTTCCATGAATTAATGTATTTTCAGACTTAGCAGCCCAAAGTTTGCCTTCGATCCTGCTTAGATCCAGATTTACTAAATTCAAGGTTGGGTTGATTATGAATGTACTAATCCTACCAAAGCTTACTTCCACTTGCCGCTAAACAGCCCACAAAGCTTATCCATCTGCTTGACTTCTAACTTATTTTCTTTTTGCACCACTGCCTACTCTTAGCCGTAATAACTACACAATTTTTTCAACAGTTAAAAGTATTAGTGAACTATAAAATGTGGGACTAAATTGATGTTTTTGACAGAATGAGGGATCCATTTGCAATTAGGTCTTAAATTAATGGATTGATTACAATTTATCAACTATTGTTCCACACGATCGAAAGTTACAGTTTACTGAACTATTAATATAAACAGCTAAGGAGTTCCAGTTTGTTGTTTTAATTTTTCAGGTTAGGTTTGGAACAATTGTCTGCCATTTACTTTATGATGAAAGCAGAATATAGATTACATTGTTTTAGAACTTGCTTCTCTCACTATCAGTATCTCAAATTTAGCGTAGAAGTTGCATTGAATGTTGCTAACATTCATTTTGTGCAACAGGCCCGTGAAAAGTACCTGTCGCTAAAGAAAGGCACAAAAGCAGACATTACTACTGCCTTAGAGGATGTAACCGCCACCACCTAATTTATCAGCTATTTGATAATTTTATCATGTGAAAATGCTTTATGAAATTCTTTCTGCATTTCTTTTTGGGGGCATTTACATACGTAGAGCACAATTCTTATGTATTAAATATCTCACACCTAAACTTTAATATTTACTCACATAGCATTCAAATCTTTAATATAACATAAAATGGAGCACTTCAATCACTTTTTAGAAGGACTTTCATGCATAAGTTTAAAACACTGAAGTACTATGTATGTTAATATGAAAGTTTAGGTGTGATATATGTAAATTCATTATAATTTTGTGCTACGTTTGTAAATTTTTCCATTTTTCTGGCTCCCTTACGTGAATATGCACATAATCCAGGAGCTCTACAGTGCACGGTCTTCATTCGAGCAGGCCCGCTTTAATATGGTAGGTCTTTGTGCTGTTTGCTGAGCATTGCATAAATCTTCTTATTTCTTGCTGCAACTTGCTAATTGCGCTTCTTTTTATTTGTACCAGTCATGTTACCCGACGAATTACTTGGTTTATTGTTATGCCACTCACTATGTGCTTGTGTAAAGTTTTGATTAATCAGTACTATTTCACTTCTAGATGTACTGAAATGAGAGCAATGTGAGCAGAAACTTTGGTTTGTGAAGAAAATTAAAGGAATATTTTAGATTTTTTGCCACAATTTGGTGCAAATTATGGACTTTGGTGGTAGCCATATTACGAAACTATAAAAAAAATCTCAGCTTTCTTTGTCAAGTAGATGTTAATGAGAAAATAGTTAGTAGCACCATTGAGAAGCACCGATGTTCAATCTACACATGCTTGTTTGCCCAGGTTAATTCGCTTTCGAATATTGAGGCTAAAAAGAGAGTTGAGTTTCTTGAGGCTGTTAGTGGTACAATGGATGCACATCTTCGCTACTTCAAACAAGTAAATTATTTTATGGCATATTCATTCTTTTTATTTATTTATTTATTTATTTTTGCCTTCCTTGGCGTTAGCAATTGCTCTTGTTATTTGTGACAGGGATACGAGCTATTGCATCAAATGGAGCCTTACATCCACCAGGTTTGTTTTGATGGACTTAAAAGCATCGACTATAGAAGTGAAGTTGTGGTCTCCTTTACATGTTTTTATCAGCACTTGCATTTAAAGCATACGTAACTAAGCAAGCGTTGAGTCGAAATATTTTTGCATTCAATTCGAGCATAAGATGTGCAGTTCATACTTTATGCAACATGGAAATTAGGCGATCTTATGTCTAGAAAGGCACCAAACACTGTTGCTAAGTTTCTGTTTTTGTATGTATATAAATTGCCTGTTATGAAGTATTTAGCACTTAATGCATAAAACTTATGACTTTTCCTATGAATCTTTGAGAACAGTGCTTTATAATTTGAATGACACTTCACTCTAAGAATTTTTGTGGCAAAACTTCAAATAACTTCTCTAGATTGTTTATGATTTTGACAGCAATTTTAGCCTATTATTATTTGTGACTTAGCCATATTGAATTACAGGTTCGTAAACTCTTTTTTTTTTATCTTTTAAATTTGTATTTGGGAGTGGATGGAGGGATTTATGTGTGGACATTGACATGGGTATGGCATCATACCTATGGAATTCAAGTAGACGAGACGACACTATTCCTTTTTGTAATGATGAGATTTTATTACCCGAGAATGAAAATGCTTCATAAAGACAAAATTACAAATAAAATAAAAAAGAATTTCCTATCAATAAACAAAAAAACAAAATCCACTAGATCCATATAAATTATAAGCTGAGAGAGTAATACCACCCAAATAGCGAGTAGTAGACCCACATTGAAATTTTTCCTCAGTTAAAAATGCTAGTCATCAGGAGAATTATTGTGTTTAGTTTGAAATTTAGTAAACTTTGGGGTTAAAGAAATGCTTCTTTTTTGAACTGTGCCTCCTTGGAGAGAACACGAGCGTAAACATTTAATTTGCTAAATCAAGTAAAGATATGATACTAAAGAAAGTTTGAATCATCAGCAACCTCTACTTCAAAACTATTATGAGTAATAGTTGGGGACACCATTGTAATAAGGAAATATTGAGATTTTCTCAGGGACCCCTTAATAGATTGACAAATAGATTTCCGAATAAGGCTTTTGAAGTATCAATAGGAATGTGAGCTTCGAAAAATCTATGCCCTAGACTCTCGTCGTTGTTGATGAAATCTTTGTTTTTGGGTCAAATTTTCATAAGATAGATTGAATTATAGATAAGAAACTATCCAAAGATTTTGCACTCATTTTATGAACAACTTTTGATCAGGATTTCAAGATTTTTCAATGGTACAAGCCCCTATGGTTTATTACCTCTCCCGATAACAAGAAAGCACTTTTGATTAAGGCTAGTCATTAAATGCTGAATATTCAACATATAACAGTAGCAGACTTAGGGTTTGAATTATAAAATATTTCACCTTGAATTTAAAATGGATGGTGGGGAAATTGGTGACGAACCCAATCAAGATCTTATGACTCCATCGTCCTGGGTCATCGTGAGCCTAATTTACTTAGTCAGAGGAGATAGTCGGCGCAACCTGACTTAAGAATAAATTTAAGTTGACTTTAACTAACATAAGATCTTGTGTCAATCAATTGTACATTTATAATTCACAACTGAAAGGGTAAAAAGTCGTTGGGGAACATAAGAGATGTAGTTGTGACTGTAATATAATTGTGTTATTTGGATGCAAACTACCCATTCATAGGGCTGCTCTTAACTACTACTTTTTGTGGAGTCATTAAGCCAAATCACACAAACATAGTGCTCAGGTCACGTCTTTATTGATATGAGATTTCTTTGAATGTGAATATAGTGACACACTCGATGTAACATTCAAACTTTGTGCGCTGAAGTCAATTAAAATTGTCACTCTAATAAACTATTGTGGAGGGTGAATGACATTTATTTTAATGGTTTTAAGTGATTATTTTTAACTTAAATATTTTGATTTATTTGTTTTGAGAATTTGATTTGAAAATCTTAATTTACAAGTTGACATCTTCGGCTGATATTTTCAGTGAACACTGATATCATTGGAGAATTGAACGTTTAAAACCATTTGTATTTTTTGAAATTTGTTAGTTTAATATTTTTAGAATAGTAGTTTTGTCAACTCTAACCCTAATAAGGAGGATTAGACTAAAGATGATGTCGACTTATGAATTCATACTTTTTTATTTAGACATTATTGAAAATATTATATTCGTCGACCCCAATCTTGAAGAGTTGAAAATGTGTGTTGTTTAACTATTTTGTATTTGATTTTTAAAATGAGGTTTATTTAAATTTAAAATAATCATTGATTTTTCAAAAAAACCTTGCACACTAATCAGAGCGAATAAGCGTTCAACCTTAATCCACCCAACATTCTCATGCCATTGAAATTTAAACACTAGTCAATTTGGTGGGGCGCATGCAAGTATTTTAAACATGATTTTAAGTTGGCCCGCACAACATTCCCTTATCTTATAATTTGAAATTGAAGATACAGATCGAAGTGCATACGAGTTTATTTTGTTATGTACATTTATCTTAGTACATTTTTCCAGTTGCATAGATGTACTAAGATAAATGTACATAACAAAATAATACATTGAAGTTTTTAAAATAATTCAAAAGTGTTAGTGTGAGATTTATAATCATCCAAGTCTTTGTTATTCACACAAATGCTTCCTGATTTACATGCATGCAGATAATATTTGACAAGTCACTCTGATGCAATTATATTAATATTTCATTCACCTTACAATATAATATGACATTTGACATACCTAAGACTAATTGCACACTTTCTAAATTGCTTTCACATACGTTATGGCAATGTATAAAAAGCTGATAATTGGCTTGAAATGCAAATGCAAGCCTTAAAATTATCTAAACTTTATTATTTGTGTTTATATCTTTTTAAAATACATTTACATAACTTAAAAGTGCCCTTGTAAGTATTTGAGAAGATTGTAATGCATTTGTGTGAATCTCTAGGCATTGCAGCTAAATTGGACATTTTCTTAAAGCTCATGAATTACATTCTTTGAATGTTTAAGTGAACATTAGATATTTGGAATGAATACAGGGTTTCGTTTTGAGCTTTAAAATGGTCGTCTTCTGTATGCTAGCAGACTTATTGCTAATTCAGTGGCAAAATTGGCTTATTAAGCCCTTTTTTTTACATTTAAAATTGACTTTCATGTCTTAAGCTTAGCCCCAAGATATTTAGTCTTTTTTACAAGTGCAAATATTCCCTATTTAAAATCATTTATAAGTTAGAATTGTTCATATTTTGAATTATTTACAGGTCTTCATTAGCCAAATTTAAATTACTTTTCAAGCCTAAGAGCCTATGTTTAAATTATTTCTTTTCAAACCTAAGGGCCTAAATTTGAATTGTTTTTCAAATTTAGAAAGCTCAAATTTGAATTATTTTCAAATCTAGAAGCTTATATTTGAATTAATTTTTAAGTTTAAAAGCCCAAATTTGAATTTTTTTTTTTAAGTATTTGCTGTCCAATTTTAAATATTTTTGCATGTTTAAATATTTCAAAATTTTGAGTTATGTTAATAAGTTTAAATAAAACAAAAATTTAAATCATTTGCAAGTCCAAATCATTGAGAATTTTAGCACTTCCGGCGTTTACCCCCATTTGGGGGCATTGGGGAGAGTGTCGACTCGCACAACTGTCTTAAGAGATGTGTTAGTCAGTGTTGTGAGACACTGCTACTAGGAGACAAATTTTTTTTAACCCATCAGTCTTAAAAGACTCATCGAACTTCAATTAACCTACAAAAAATCAAACACATGCATGTATTTACTTGAATAGATTTTAATTTTTCAATAATGATATTTAACTTTTTGGACAGGTACTCTGGTTTCCCAAGTCGAATACTTAAATTTTTATTTTTTTATAAAAAAAAACCTCAAATAAGTACACAATTTCCTTAAACGGTACTTAATTCCCTGTATAAGCACTCAAGTTTTCTTGAATTTGTATTTTTAAAAAATTCCCCCCTCACCCCTTTTTATACCTTTTCGATGTGGACGATGTTGAAATGATTGAATCAACGAAATAAAAATAGAAAAACTTAAGACTGGGGCGGTAGCAAAGAGGCGCTTGGTTTTGGCTTCATCTGTAGGGTGGGCTTGGGATCGTTGCTTGGGCCAAAGAGAGGTAGAAGTGATGTTTGATTTTGGGTTTTGGCTCCGGTGAGAAAGCTTAGGACTGAGGCGTAGCAGAAGTGGTGAAGGCTTTTTGGCTGAGGTGCGATATAAGAGCGATTTGTCTGTGCAGTTGAAGGATGGATAAAGTACTTTCATGTGGTTAGGCTTGCGTGAACATAGGGAGTTCTTCGGCTTCGGCTCACGCGAAAGGACATTGCTGGGAGGTTTTCAGTTGCTGTGATTGGGAACGATGGAGAAGCTAAATGGGGCTTATAAAATTTGGAGTGGAGGGCGGGAATAGAAGTACAAAAGTAGGGAATTCAGAGTGGAAGAAATTGATGGAGACAGGTTGGCCATGGGTTTGCAAACATTAGCGAAGAACAATGCTAAGGGGTGTCAGTGGGATTGAGTTGCTATTACAATTGAAATTAAGAGGTGGAGTGGACGAACGGAGGAGGGAGTCGGATTGGGCTTCTCGTTCATGTGAAACAGAGAGGAATCTCAGAGGCTTCTTTCTTGGAGCGACGATGGGTCTTCGAACAGGGAGGAGCAATGGTTGGTTTCCTATCAATTCGAGGAGGAAGTGGGGGGTAGCTATGGGAGCCTTTGTGTAGCTTTTCTTATTTGTAATTGAAAAAGTATTTCATGCGAATGGTTATAGGAGTAAGAGCAGGTCGGGTCGGGTTGAGAAGGAAATTTAACACGTAGACATTCACACATAAAAAGTTAACTTATATAAATTAAACTTATATATTAATAATGTAAGATTTAGTTTATATAAATTAATCCTATATATATTAATGTTGATTGATTTCAATGTGTGTGTGTGTCATCTATATAAATCAACGTCATGTTCCTCAAAATTCATGTTGTCGTTAACGCAGGTTAGCTTCACATTTCTTATCCATGCCAGCATCATTTGAATGGCTTCAAAAGTGATCGAAACAATTTTGATCTAAATCGCTCAATATCACATTCAATTCATACTTTCAAAGTTATGTTTGTGAAATTTATATTGAGGCCAACAAGGGATTACATCCATAGTTTGTTAATACACCAAAGATGGGAAAAGCAAGGTGATACATCAAACAAGCCATTAACAACTTGGGGATGGCACAAACTCAACAGTGGTGGTTGGAGTTGGTTTTAGAGCATGAGACCCAATTGAGGGAACAACTTTAATAGGTTGTGTAGGTTTGGTTTGATCATTTTTATTTACTTCGCATGAATCCTACTTTCCGGAGCAATTGGGCCCTTGAAGAATAATTTTCTTAATTTTAGATGAGCGTTACAGTAATCAATGTATTTATGGCTAAACATCTTGCATGACTAAATCTATGAGGGTAAACCCTTAATTTTTAATTTTTTTTTTCCATTGACCATTTGTTGAATTGTCAATCCCTCTCCTTTTTCTAAGTACTAGAAACCTCTATTTCAGAGGAACTCAGGTCTAATGGTCGAGAGAGTTTGGTAGTAGCAATGTTCACTTATATTGGTTGTCAAAAATTAATCTTGCTGAGTATAGTGTAGTTTGATTTATGAAGCGGATATGTTTGTTAGGGAAAATAATCCATGCTGAGAACTAAGAGGCTCCTTAGAGTTATCAAAGTATGGATACTATTTTAACATATGTATCAGGAGATCTTTCACATAATATGAATAATAAGAAAAATTCTCGAGTGATATGCTTTTAAAACTATTTTGTTAAGCAAATGATAATGTTTAAAGAGTTTGACAGAGAAATCATCAAACAGATATAAATCAAATAGAAGGTATTAATAATCTATAAATTTAGACAATTAGTGTGTAGGAAAATGGTGTTTCATATCAGAAATCTCATTTGAAATGTACTGGGTGGCTTGTATTGATTATAATTCCAGCCTTGTCGAAGGAATAAAAGAAATTTAATTGACATATCCTATTGCAAACAATCCTTACCCCTAACTACACCAACAAAAGATAAAGATGGGGACAAAAGTTTCGATAGAAGTAGCACTGTAACATGCTTAAGCAATAATTATAGGTGCTAATGGAGTGCCATGCAATGAAAGGATCATCTGGCAACAAAAGTGAAGCATAGGCATGATTTTTCGTAGAAATTAAGGTAAAACAAATATTTTATTTCTTCAAAGAAACTTTACAACGCCGAACATATAACATAAAGTATAAACATCTATAATTCGAGAGGTAAGAAATCTCTCCCAATTCCTAAACCTAAAATTCCAGACACAATCTCATTTATACTCCAATTCCTAAGTCTATTTGGGTCTATTCATAACAAAAAATAATAAATATTAAAAGACTTAGTTGCCTTAGGCGCATAAAAGACAATTGCTCTTAGGCTATGCATCAACATAACAATGCTCCCATTTCAAAGGCACCTTATCCTCAAGCTGGAAAAAATGATGTTTTTTTTCCATTGCTTCTTCCTCCAACTCTTCACAATATGCCTTATCCCCCTCACAAATTAAAAGGGCCTAGAGCATGCAATCCTTGCATTGATGGCATGAGGCATACTTATAATCACATCGGAAACATGCCTTACAAATTAAAAGGGCCTGGAGCGTACGATCCTTGCATCGATGGCTTGTTGCATACTTCTCATCACATCGGAAACATAATCATTTTGCTATCTTGTTTTGCACCTTTGCCTCTGTTAGAAACTACTTAAAGTTTCCCTCCAGACGGGCTTTCTATTCCTCTTTTTCGGTGCCTCCTTCTGAGATGACACCATCTGAATCCTCAGTGTCATGGTTGTCGAGATGCTAAGGTTTGATTAAAACCATTTACTCTTTGCTACATGAGCCTCCAACTTCCTCTCCCTCTGCTTTTTTCTCCTATTTAGCAATGGTGAAATTTCCTCTTTTGATCATAGTCATACCCCATCTCGACTTCTCTCATTTCTTTGTTGTGCTGCTCTCTATCCCTTGCAAAGCCAATTTTTCATGTTTCAGCCCAACCTCCTCCATCAGAAATCTCTAATTCAACCCCCATCGGAGCCTTGGGAGGAGGTTTTGATGGTGGATGTTTTCCTCGTGTTTCTCTCATCCGATCTCTTTTCCTTTTACTTTAGTCAATGAGTCTCCGATCAACTCTTGGTTAGGGTTCGCAAACTAATCCGCCGGCGGGTCCTAGATTGCATCTCGATAAGGTTCCTCATTAACTCTTCCAAGTGCACAAAGCGGTTTTCCATGGAAGAAAATCCATCTTCTATGGATGAAAACTTTCTTATATGGTGGAGAATATTTTCTCCATCCCGGATTTAATTTGACTCGTCTCTTACTCCAATTTCTTCTCAAAAGCATCTGTCTTTTTTGTTGTCATCTTTCAAGACGATTTTCAATCATGTAGGCTTCCACTAACTCACAAGAAGTTCATGTATGTCGTAGTCTTGATCGTGAGGTTTGGTCATGAGTAACAGTGATGCCGAATTTTTTAAGGATCGAAGTTTTAGGTCGTGCGGAATTACTGAAAGCTTCGAGTTTTAGGTCAATATAGGTTGTGATGCTTCCCAACTAAGTGGAATGGCTATGGTATCACGATCGGTTCCGAAAGCGTGCGTCTGTATGTTTCGATCTTGTCGCTGGATCGCTTATGTATAGCGATATTCGGTTCTGAAGGCCTTCGTTTGTAAGTCACGATCCCTACATTGATTTACCATTTGTGTAATATCACGATTGGTTCCGAAAGCGTGCATTTGTATGCTTTGATCCCGTCGCTGTATCACTACTGTATAGCAATATTCGGTGCTGAAGGCCTTCGTCTGTAAGTCGCGATCCCTTCATTGATTTACCATCTAGGTAATATCGTGACTATATCGCACTCTATGTTGCAATTCAGTCTTTGTATCTCACTAAACTCCCCACTCTTCTCCCAATTAGGTTGAATCGAACTTGTGGTCCCTTCACGCAAGCATCGTGACTGCACTGTATGTTGTGATCTTGTTGTTTCTTTCGCAGTAAAATTGCGACTGTAGCTTCCTGTTGCTTTCTGTCGCAATCCCATCGCTATTGTTCTCGGACGGCATGTAGGCCGCTCTTGTTGTGTTTCCCGTGGCTAGAATCTGCTAGCTCATCACTGAATTTCCAGGAATCGAAAGCTCTAATACCAATTTGATATGATTTGATGTAGAAATCGACTCAATTTTCTACAAAAATAAAGGCAAAATAAATATTTAATTTCTCCAAATCAACAATACAATGACAAACATCTACCATTCGAGAGGTAGGCGTTTTTTATAACAAATAATAATAAATTATAAAAAAAAACTCGATTGCTCTTAGGTGCATAAAAGATAAAATTGCCCTTAGGCTAGGCACTGGCGTAACACAAATGTTGAACTGGTGAATGCAAAAAGTAACATTGGGGTATAACGAGGAAGCTACAAGTGAATGTAGAGAGTAGCACGAAGCATTAGGGTAAAAGCTATGAGTAGTGATTGTGGATGCATGAGTTTGATTGGGAAATTTGAAGAGTGCTTCAAGGTTTGTGCAACAAGCAGTGACTTGTTGGTGGGAAGCAATAATGCGGTTGTGATAGGCAAGCAAAGTTTGCAGGTGTGGTATTTCCTGGATGCGGCAATCAGTTTGGATGATTTATTTAGAGCAAGATGATGTTGACGCTACTCTTTTGATTCAATTTGTAAATCCTATTTTGGTCCTTGTGTTTTAATGCTACTTGCTGTTAGGCTCTTTGGATTTAAAAATCTTTGTTTAGGTTATGATATTTTTGCCCTATCGATTAGTAGATTTTCTGACGTTGGCCTCATTTTTTTTATGACAATAGCCCTCTATTATAAATGAAATGTTCTTAACACCTTCGTGCAACCATGTTATTTGGGTATTTGGGAGGGTGGCTGTCTGAAATAGTGGTGGTGGGCTCTGATATATTAAAAGGACCTTGAATTTGTTTAGTTCTACCTTGGGCTCCCTCCAATAGGGAGGTACTCTAGCTCTACAAAACTGCTGTTTGTTGGAGAACCCTTACTGTGCTAGTTTCACATGAAATTGATGACATAGAAATGGTGACTCAAAAGCACATCTTTTAATAAACCTATTTATATATTGATTTAGGTATTTTGGTCAATTTATTGCTTCTATTTTAATAGAAATGGCTAACTAGTTGATGATTTTTAAAACCGAAGGACCTGACTACAGATTGGGTTGATCTCTTACCCATTGAGAAATGCTAAATTAATTGACAATGCATGGACGATACTAGCATATTATTCTTTAGAGGTGAAGACCTTTGTGATTATTGTTACTAATTTCAAGAATCACATCTAATTTCCTTTGCTTGCTTCATACATAAAAAAATTTCCTGCATGCTTAATTTTGTGAATTCAATTTGAGCTCACTTTATTTACTCATCTTAGTTTAATACCAATTTTCGTGGTTTATGAAATGTCAACAAACATAAATTACCTTATGTGTACTGATATTGCATTATTTGATGGTTTAAAGGTTCTTGCATATGCACAGCAATCAAGAGAGAGATCCAACTATGAGCATACGGCCCTCACGGAGAGGATGCAGGAATTTAAGAGACAGATTGATAGGGAAAGTAGGTTATCTTCAAATGGGTCAAATGAATCTCCAAATGGTGATGGTATACAAGCTGTTGGTAGGAGCTCTCATAAAATGATCGAGGCTGTAATGCAGACTGCTGTCAAGGGGAAGGTAATAACTTCTCTTGAAATTTTGAATTCTCCAACTACATGTACATTTTGGTTTATTTCACTGCTGATTCTGTTAGCTATACTTGTTTTAAAATTGTTCTCATTCAATAACTTTTGTGTAATATTATATTAAGCCTTTTCTTGGATTGAAGAAACATGGAGGAAATGAATGGAAATCTAAAAATTTTACTTGGATTAATGGTTGATTTTGATTCTGCAATGAATGATTCGAGTTATTTTCACCTGCTTAGAACAGTCTAAAATCTTTTTTAAAATAATTTTAAATGCTCAATAAAGTCTGTTTTGATGCTAATTTATGTATTTGATTATTCAGGTCCAAACCATTCGACAAGGTTATCTCTCAAAGCGCTCATCTAATCTAAGAGGTGACTGGAAAAGAAGATTCTTTGTGCTCGATAGTCGTGGGATGTTGTATTACTATCGTAAGCAATGGAGCAGGTCATCTGTATGTCATTAATTTTCCTTCAAAAAATTTCCACTCATTTATTTAATGAAATCACTAGTAATAGCTTTTTTTTGGGTTTGTTTGGGATCACTTTTGAATTTTGTTTTTTTTTGTTTTGTATGTTTTACTTAAAATAAAACATATTTGGTATGTTATAACACATTTAGTTGTTTTTAAAAACACTCAAAATAACTTTTACATGTTTTGAGTATTTTTAAAAACAAGCTAATTTGTAATTTAAAATAAAAAACAAAAGCATGCAAAAAAAACATTTAACAAACATGTTTTTAAAACAAAGCAAAAAAAAAAAAAAACAAAAAATAAAAAATGATCCCAAGCTAGCCCTTAGCATTTGGGTTTCTGAAGTGTCTGCAAAGCCATTGCTATCATTATCTGCATCAACTTTTTGAAGATTTTCTTATTCTATAGGGTGCTGGAGTTCATTCTGGTCAGAGGAGTCATGGCTCATCAGAACAGAGTTCTGGATTGCTGAGTCGTTGGTTCTCCTCTCACTATCATGGTGGAGTACATGATGAGAAGTCTGTTGCACGCCACACTGTGAACCTCCTTACTTCTACAATAAAGGTCGATGCAGATCAGTCAGATTTAAGATTCTGTTTTAGGATAATTTCACCAACGAAAAACTACACATTGCAGGTAAGCTCCTAATTCATCAAGAGCTTAAAGAGGACAAGTTTATGGTTTTAAAATATCATCCATGTTACTCATTTCCTTACTGTATACTCATTTGTAAGTTTTGTTGCCCATGGTTTTAGCTTACATACATCTTAATAAGTTCACAGTGTTTTCATACTTTTTGCTCTTTAAGATTCAAGTAAATCTGTTGTGGTTTTTTAATCTTAAATGCATGGTATGGTGGAACCTGTAGAATGGTTGTTTATGCCATGTATATGATTCCCGTTAATACTTGTTGTGTATTTATACACTAGTTTTTGTATTGTTCCAAACTCTAAACTTTCAGTGTGTTATGAAACAGTTAAGCATTTTTTTATTGAAAATTTTGGAAAACCTCTTCTAAGTGAAAAAATTGCATAGCCAACCCCCTCTTGCCTATTTAGTAAGGATGATATATTTCATAGTGAACTGGTCACAGCTGATAGAGGATTGGCATAAAAGAAAATAAATGAATGCATACAAAACTGTTTAGCAATTGGAATACTTGATGGGGCTGTATGCTGGACACTTGGTTCCTATTTCAGGTGTCTATCTGTCTTTCTAGCAAGGATTGTTTTCTTATTGCTGAATGTGAAAAATTATGGTCAATTGCGGCTTCATCTTCCTTCCACCAATGTTTAGTATATAATGGGATTTGCTCTTCTTTTTCTTAGGGGCATTGGATTCTATGTATTAGTGTAAAGTAAACCAAATGCATTGGTTTTCAAAATTTTGGCTTTTGGTTGGATGAAAATAAAATGCAGTGTAAAATTTTGATGAATTTGAAATTCATCATGCAGTTCAAAACTGTTATATTCCAAATTCATTATATTCGGGTGATTCCAAATACACTGCTAGCTGAGCTTGTTATTGTAGCCACCGCCGCCCGCCAGCTCAGCCTCTTTCGATGGCCCGACACCACTATCGCCCATCGTTTCTGCCCGCCTCCACCCTTTGCCGGCACTGCAAGTTCTTGTTGCCGCTGTCACCATCACCAGACATTATTTACATTGATTTCATTTTTCTTCAAACCAAATACAAAAAAATGTAAATTATTGCATTGATTTTACACCAAATCAAACAACTTCAAAGTATTTCAAATATAATAAATTTCAATTACTCTATATTCGTTTTATATTGAATTCCTTTTTCAACAAACCAAACAACCCTTAATGATAATGACTTGATTGCTATTTTTTGGTGACATGGGCTGTGTGTATATGGACATGTAGGAAGGTGGGAAACCTTGTGCATGATTGTTTGCTCGGTTTAGGAGATGCACTGGTACCAATTTCTCTGCCTTTTTTATGATGATTCAAGTTTTTTTTTTTTTTAAAGTTTTGTTATGGATTGTTTACCTTCCAGAATGTTTTATCGATTTTCAGAACGGTGATATGATGAATTATTTCAGCTATAATTGATGCAGTAGCTTACATCATGTACTTTCTCGTGCCTTGGGATGCACTTTTTAGTCTCTTAAAAGAAGGTTTAATATATGTGGTTAATTATTGTTTTGAATGTATTATGACAAGGCAAAATTTTAAAATTGTGGTCCATTCTTATGTTACAATATTTTTTCAACGCATACCATTTTCTCAAGTTATCTCTTCCTGCTATTATTTGCTTTTTGCTGTTTTAAAACAAGGATAATGTATTTCTGTTATTTAAAGATTAACTTCAATGCATTGTATTTTTTGCACATTTTAACTTATTTTGGTTATTTCTACCATCTTATCTATTAAGACAGGCTGAGAGTGCAAATGATCAGATTGATTGGATTGAGAAGATAACTGGTGTTATTGCTTCATTACTTAGTTCCCAGTCACCTGATAAGGTTGGAACGAGTAATTTCCATTGAAAATTTTCCTTAATTTTTTCAGTATAAATTACACAATTGTTTCTTACTTCCAATTCCAGCATCTCCTTACTAGCCCCATGAGTAGTGGCCATCATCACACCGCTAGTGAGAGCAGTTCGTTCGACAGCTCGACAGATCTTGATCATGTAGCAATAGAAGAGTCTTTGTTTGAAAGGAATTGTGGTACCGGAGCATCACAACAACATAGGTTCAACATTAAGCACGAAAAGCCAATTGATTTGCTGCGAAAAGTCAGCGGAAATGATGTTTGTGCTGATTGTGGGGCTCTTGATCCAGACTGGGCATCCTTAAACCTCGGAATTCTTGTATGCATCGAATGTTCGGGGGTACATCGCAATTTAGGCGTGCACATATCAAAGGTACCTCCGTTTTAGTATCTAGACACTTGCGTGCCTTTTTTAGAAGGGCATTTACATGCATACCATATACTTATGTTTAACATATTTGACACAAGTTTTCATATATACGTTTACAGCACTCAACATTTTAACGTCACATAAAAAATTCCACCATCATTAACTTCTTAAAAATGAAATACAAATCATGCATCGGTTTATGACACCAAAGTATTATAAGTGTAAATAGTAAATTTTTGGTGTAAGATATGTAAATAAATAAGAATTGTGCGGTGTTCTGTGATCGTCTTTTCCAAAAAATTGTAACTTGATTTAGGTAAATGGAATTATTTTGCCAAGCCCTTACGCTCTCCTTACCAGCTATTTGTTATTTGATCTGCTCTCTATGTTTTGTAACTTTTTCTAGCGAAACAGTGAGAATTTGTTTTTGTAAATTAATACATCTTACGTGAAGTTCTTTGTTTTCTTTAGTAAGACTGCATATTTTTCGTTTCGTAGGTATGAATTTATTGCACTGATGAATGAATACCAATCAAAAAAATAGATTTACTGTTTTTTTTTCCTAAGGTTTTAACTACTTGTGTATTCATTGTTGGATCCTGATGTAGTTGATTGTTTTAGGCTGAGAAAAGTGCTTAACATTTTAATCAAGCTGATTCGGTGGAAAGTGATGGGAGGAAAAATGTATTGAGGTCCAACTAACCCCTTTTTATTCAATTTTTTGCTTTCTATAGTATTTTGGGGAAGCATTTTTTTTTAAAGTATAACTGGAGGTTGGGGCGGGTATCTTGGCATCTCACACCTAAAGTTTCATATTTACACACATAGCACCCAAATCTTAAATATCACATAAAAATAGCACATAGCACTCAATCAGAGATGTAAAATGAGAGTTGTGAATCATGGTCAAATTGACTCCATGGTGTCTGAGATATGGTTGACATAAAATTATAGCCTTTCTACTGTATAGTATCTTTCTGCATCAAACTCAACATTGGAGGGAGCCTCATGCACTTGATACACCCTTTCACATGAATATTTAGTGCTTATAAAAGATTACAGGGAAATTTACATACATACCACACATTTCTTATGTGTTTGCATATCTGACAACTAAAGTTTGATATTTACTCTTATAATACCTTGGGTTCATAAACCTTTGCATGAAAATGTGTATTTCACTTTTAAGAAAATAGTGGCGGTGGTATTTTTGGTATTTGCATTTATAGCACACAACTCTTTTGTATCTTGGTATCTCACACCTAAAGTTTCATATTTACACACATAGCACCCAAATCTTAAATATCACATAAAAATAGCACATAGCACTCAATCAGAGATGTAAAATGAGAGTTGTGAATCATGGTCAAATTGACTCCATGGTGTCTGAGATATGGTTGACATAAAATTATAGCCTTTCTGCTGTATGGTATCTTTCTGCATCAAACTCAACATTGGAGGGAGCCTCATGCACTTGATACACCCTTTCACATGAATATTTAGTGCTTATAAAAGATTACAGGGAAATTTACATACATACCACACATTTCTTATGTGTTTGCATATCTGACAACTAAAGTTTGATATTTACTCTTATAATACCTTGGGTTCATAAACCTTTGCATGAAAATGTGTATTTCACTTTTAAGAAAATAGTGGCGGTGGTATTTTTGATGTGATGTTAAAAATTTGAGTGGTATGCATGTATATATGAATGTTTAGGTGTTAGATATTTAAATACATAGGAATTGTGTGGTATGCCTGTAAATACCCTGAGATTAAAACAAGAAATTTGCATACTTAGTCAAGTACTCGTCCATGGTTGGTTGGGAAGACTTTTCTTTTCTGGATTGACAGAAGAGAAATTTTCAATGGCCACATTAAATACACTGATGTATTTTTGTAAAATCTGTATGTTTGTCTGTTTTGACCTTTCTTTCTGAGTTATGGTTCTCTTCACAGGTGAGGTCTCTTACACTTGATGTTAAAGCATGGGAGCCTTCAGTTATTAATATGTTCCAATCATTGGGTAATACATTTGCAAACTCGGTATGGGAGGAACTCCTTTTCACAAGTAACAGAAAACACGAGGATGGCTCTGGGTGATATTATTGTTCATCTTCTATTTGTGTTTATATCCGCATTCTTTTAGTTATGTAAATAGGAAGTCATGCTGATTGGTCTGCTTGAAATTTATGTTTTGCAGTTTCCAAAATATTGACAGAAAGCAACATCATATATTAATCAGAAAGCCAAAGCATAATGATCCTATATCAGTGAAGGAGAAATTCATTCAAGCAAAGGTACCTGTGCTGACTTGCTGTACTACATCATTTGGGCTTGCTGTTCTATGTTTTTATTGCTTATATAGCCAACATTTTCTCCTTAGATCGGTGTAAGCTATCATTGTTATGTTCTGGGTGAATAATTCATTTTAGTAGGTAATAAATGAAATATTTCATTTGGTCTTTTATGTGTATTCAGCCTAAGTGATCCAAACAGTTGAAACGCTTACAGAGGGAAAACTATTGTGTGGGGCAATAGGGCTGCACTCTTTGAGGAGTTGGGCGCTGATTTTTTTGTAGGTTGAGTTGGCGTTGTCTTACTGTAGAGGTACATTCCTATTTTTTGTGTACTAAAATGTGCATGAAGGTTTCTATTGTGGGCTCCGAAATTTTAATGCTCCGGCCTGAAAATGAAATGATGCGAGGGATTTTACTCGTGAAATGTTGCTTGTATTTTGCTTAGACTTCAAGATTTGGGGTTCGAGGTTTCCCATAAATGCAGACCCCTATATTTAGTTACCCCTTTTGGATAACGGGTAAACACTTTTGAGTAAAGCTAGTTTCTCGACGCTTAGGGTCCGTTTGGGGCAGCTTATAAGTGCGGGCGGCGTTTTGAAAACGCCGCCTCACTGTTTGGTTCCCACTTATTGAGGGATTATTTGAAAAGCCGTTCGACGCTCGTTCCAGCAGAGCTTCGCCTATCGCTCCTGTCGCCAAGCCGTTCGACGCTGGATCCAGCAAGGCTTCGTCGCTCGCTCCCGTAACCTTTTCATTCGACGCCGGATCCAACAACGCTTCGCCTCTCGCTCTCGTGACAGCTGTTCCACGCCGGATTCAGCAGCGGAGAATCCATCGCCGGAGTCCAGCAGCGGGGGACCATCTCCGGGGAACCATCTACGGATCCGGTTCTTTCTCGAAGTGGTTCTTTGAGCTTCACTCCTCAACCTTCTTCGGTTTTTCTGTAGCCTTCTTCGGTTTTCCTCGCTACAGATATATCTTGCTCACATAAAGCTGATGATGCATAACAAATATCATAATGCTCGGAGTTCTTTAATATTTACATCACTAATATTTTTATAGTAATTACTTGGATGGTCAACTTTATAAATCATTACTTCATACCATTCCTATTGATAGATCCATAGAGTGTAAAATTTAATTCATGCTTTCTTTTAGCATATATGCTACATTTGATCTGTCCTGGTGTCCTTCCTAATCATTTTAAGTAATTTTTATCTACTCCACTTGTTTATGCATCGCTACCCCTAGTTGTAAGCGACTACAATCAGCTAAATATATCTAATCTCAGTAGATGCTACTCTCGTCATATCTGATATAATACTTTTTCAATTTATTCTTTCAAGTTCTAGCAAACATTCATCTAACATTCTCATTCACGTTGCTTAGTGAAAGAAAGAAACATCATAAGAACTAACATTTGAATATTTGACTTATTATGTACTTTAATTTTTATTGTACATAATAAGTTCAATGTTATGTTTACGTGATGCACACTTTTTTTTTATCTTCTTCGTGGATGTTTTAGACAGTTCACCTTTCTATGTGGTTGTTGTATTGCTACCAAAAAAAGCAAATTGAAAAGGTCAATTGCACAAAAAGGCGACACATTATGATACATATCTAATACATATTTAACTGTTTATAACATATTGAATTATCATTTGGTTGATCGTTGGAGAGTATTGAAGTTTTACTGTCCTCTTGATGAAATGACTTTTTGTTTTTCTTTAGTTATTTCAAAGATGCATCCTTTTTTTCTCTTCTAGGAATGAGTCCTTTAAGTCTTTTTTCTCTTCTATAATCTTTTATTGTCTAATTTTTTATTTTGTTAGATAGTAGATATAGAAATTGCTCTTTTGTTTTGTGATTTTTTTGTCATGAAAAGAAACATTTTGCGGTTATCCGTTAATTTGACAGAACTCAATGAGTAAAGCTAAAGAGGCTGGAACATCATGATGTGGAAGTTGTCTCATGCTTTCCTGGGGTTGCACAAGTGCTTCATATAGGGGAAGCCTTTATACTGATTGTTGGGTTATAATGCAAGACACGTTTCATAGTGCTTATTGTCCTTCTGAAACAAATCGATTGTTAGAGAACAATATTTGGCCACTGAAATTCTTGCCACATTCATTGAATAACTTCTGCAATATTAATCTCCATCACAAGATCCTTAAGATCAATCTATTTCTTTGTTTGCTAATGTCTTAGGATACACAGACCGATTCCATTCCATCTATTTATATAAGATAGGCTGTTAGAGAAAGCGATATTAATCTCCATCACTATGCTTGAGACTTAAATTCTGATTTCTCTATAGCTAAAATGACATGTGAATGTGTAGCTACTTAGAGTAATAGTTTAAAATTCACCTTGCATTTAGTTTCTGGATGTAGGGGTGGTTTGTTGCTACACATTTTTACCATTATATGAACCTGATATTCCTTTGTTTGTGGACTGAAGATTATTCTCTAGACTTTGTGGTTGGACTTGATAGAACCGGGAGATTTGCATTTTTATGGTTTTCTTTAGTATATTGTTAGTAATGTTAAACTTTTGGATAAGAAATTTTGACTACTCGGATGGGAAAAGAAGTAATCAAAGTTTTTAGTATTTCAAAATGAAAAAATACAACAACTGCTAGTGGCATCATATATATTTCAATCTAATGTTAGCAAATCTTACATTTATAACAACCAAAGATTTACATACATATCACTCAAAGATTTACATATATTACATTCAAATAATTGCATAAAAATTGGTGATGAAGCTTCTTAATAGTATGAAATTGTCTGTAGCAAACAGTGTCAGATGCAGTTTGTATCATGGGCACCAGTATCACTTGCTTGAGTTGTTCCAAGATTCGATGTGATCTCATGGGCACCAATACTGCTTACTTTAGATGCTCCATGATTTCAGCTACAAAGATAGATTTTCTCGAGTGTGATCTGTAGCAAACTTTGTTAGAACATTCAATTTACATAATTAAATGCCGATGTCATTAGCCAACAAAATTAATATAGAATTTAATACTCCAAGTTATATATATTTTAGTTTTCAATGAAAAAGATAAAAACAAAATACATCATAATTTATAATAAAAACTTACAGAATCATACATTTTAAACAAGCTCGCAAAGTTGCATTTATGCATCTAACAAAACACCGAGTTTTCTCACAAAAATAGCTCCAAGCAGCCAAAGCAAAAAAATTTTCAATGATAGTAATGTTATAGGGGTCTATGTACATTATTAGCCTTCTGCTCCCGAGCCTATTGGTTGCATTATATTTTCTTTATAGAAACATTTTTATAATTACACTTCTGTAAGACTCTAATTTTTTTTTGAAAAAGTTAGGCAAGTGAACTCTTTTATTGATTGGATGAGCATAGCACTAGCATATAGCACTAGCATCTGATTAACAATCTGATTAACATAAAGTTTATACTGTCTAAAGTTATATGAACTTAAAGTGATATTATGTTATTTTTATGAAGTTAATAAGAGTGATATTTTTGATGGGATGCTACAGATTTGAGTGCAATGCATGTAAATAGAAAAATTTTAAGTGTTAGATATACAAATGCATAAGAATTGTGGTATGCTTGTAAATGCCCCTGGTTATTTGAATCAACTAAGTTTTGTTCAGTAATTATCACTCCTGATTATTATATTAGTTGCGCTACTTACCTAGATAGGTCTTTCTTTTTATGAATGTAGTTTTTAGTATTGTGACAACTTTATCTTGAACAAAGTACTGTACTCCTACATAAATTATCTGAACCAAATGACACACCCAAAATGACATTTAAATCACCATTTCCTCAATAATGAACTCCAACGCATCAAAATGAAAATTCCTCCCAGTCACTGCATTATACAGTTCGAATAACATAAAAAATTCAATATGCAAAGATGTTGTATGGGGGTGCTGAAATGATTAGTTGTTTGTGAAATCAAGTGAATATAATGCTATTGAAAAATAAATTTGTTTTTTTCTCACACCTAGCTAACATAAAGAATAAAGTTTTTCATATATACATTTTATTTCATTAATAATGTTTGGATCATCATGACCTGTCAATATGATCATGAAATTCCTCCCATTTGACCACCCTTTAGAGAACATGGAAAGAATAGTAATGCGAGATATTTGCTACAGCAAAGTTTTCGTTAAGTTATCCTTTTCAGTTATACATGGAATAAATAAATACATCATTTCGTTAAAAGACGTCAATTATCATATCTTTGTTGTGCTCATCAAAATCATCGCAAAAGATGTTTAACAAAAAAGTTCATGTTCTCCGCATTAATTTTGCTCCTCATCAATATACTCCTCATCCGTGTCATTCAATCTTTTACAACGTACCAAAAGTTGTCATTGAACCCATATCAATATATATAAATTTTGACTCATATGAGGCAATATCAACATCAAGAAAAGTCTGACTTGACTGATTAATCAGATTCTTGCAAGTGATTTGGTGGTGTCCTCAACAATCACAATAATCGCATTTACGAGTTATTTTATAATTGTTAATTTGACTCTTCATGAGGCTTCTTATTCTCGCTTCATTAACTTTCATTTAAGCATTATTGTATTTGGTGCAATTATATGAAAACTATCATTGTTTGCAATCCACTGGCTAGGTCATGCTTTATTTATAGTTACATTGATAATACCGTCATTTGATGTTGATTGATTAAAAATGACCATTAACATATTATTCATTCACAATTTCAAACAAACTTAAAATCATATGAGCTAAACATCAACATGCAATATGCTATCCCAAATTTGGCTCATTTACGCTCCTACGAGTAGTTTAAGAACTTGTGACTTGTACTCGATTCATTGAGAAATCAATAAAAATTTTAATTCACTAACTTTTTCTTGAGTTCTTGAAATAATCTCACCTTATAAGAACTAGCATTATGGTAACAACTTGTAGCACTAGATACTTTCCAAACTCCTTTAAAACTTTATCAAGATTCCAA